TCTCCATCTCCATCTTTCCATCTTCTTCATCTCATTTCATCTCCCTCTTCATTTTCCCATCTTCTCCATCTCCTCTACTCTCCTTCCATCTCCATCTCCATCTTTCCATCTTCTTCATCTCATTTCATCTCCCTCTTCATTTTCCCATCTTCTCCATCTCCTCTACTCTCCTTCCATCTCCATCTCCATCTTTCCATCTCCTTCTCCATCTTCATCTCATTTCATCTCCATCTCCATCTCCCTCTTCATTTTCCCATCTCCTTCTCCATCTCCTCTCCTCTCCATTTCCCATCTCCATCTCCATCTTTCCATCTTCTTCATCTCATTTCATCTCCCTCTTCATTTTCCCATCTTCTCCATCTCCTCTACTCTCCTTCCATCTCCATCTCCATCTTTCCATCTCCTTCTCCATCTTCATCTCATTTCATCTCCATCTCCATCTCCCTCTTCATTTTCCCATCTCCTTCTCCATCTCCTCTCCTCTCCATTTCCCATCTCCATCTCCATCTTTCCATCTTCTTCTCCATCTCCATCTCATCTCCATCTCCCTCTTCATTTTCCCATCTCCTTCTCCATCTCTCTCTACATGGAGTGGCATTCTAATCCATGAATCCCTCACTTAGAAGGAAAAGCAGTTTCGAGCTATCAATTCTCTAGTGGAGCGGCGATGATGGTGAAACCTTGAACATGCCAATGTTGGTAATGATCTTTGAATTGCAGTGCTTCCCAAAGAAGGTGGTCCATTCTCTAGATAGAATAGAATACAATAGCAGAGTCGGAAGGGACCTTGGAGGTCTTCTAGTCCAATCCCCTACTTAGGCAGGAAACTCTACACCACTTCAGGCAAATGGTTATTCAACATCTTCTTAAAAACCTCCAATGTTGGAGCATTCACAACTTCTGGAAGAAAGTTGTTCCACTGGTTAATTGTTCTCACTGTCAGGAAATTTCTCCTTACTTCTAGCTTGCTTCTCTCCTTGATTAGTTTCCACCCATTGCTTCTTGTCCTGCCCTCAGGTGCTTTGGAGAATATGCAAAAGCCCCCTCCCCATTCGCTCCTCTTTTGTTTCTTATGGGAGGGGCCAATCACCTCCAAGTTGTGGCTTTACTCCCAAGTTGACCCTGCTTTCTTAGTTCCTCTTGTCTTCTGGCAGGTCTGTGCATGCGTCCACTGGGAACAGGCTCCAGCTGTTCCTCTGCCTCACTGCTGTCTAGCCCCCTCTCTGCCTCCGACGCAGAGCCCCCGCTTTCCTCAGCCCCCAGGACTGTCCCATGCTCCTCCCCAACCTCTTCACTGTCCGACTCTGCTGCCAGCTCTGCTGGTTTCCGTTGGGCCCCAACACATATTCCTAGCAATAGCTCTGATTGTGGGAATCTGTTGGGATGTCCTTCTCATTACGAATGGGTTCAGTTTTGATTTTCTTTATCCTTGTTAAGTATTGTGTGTTGGTTTTATTGGGCCGGGACCATAAATACCTAAACTAATATTTTATTTCCATTGGATTTCTTACTTTATGAACTGGTGATTTCTGTTTGACCTACTTTTATATCAGTACATATATCTTTCCAAAAATATCTGCGGGGGGGGGGAGGGAAAATATGCTCCTTCTCATGCATTATTTTCCTAATGAGCATGGTTTTCACCCTGCACGTGTCTTGCAACTAATTTTCTCTTTTCCCCCCTCCCCCCATTATAAATTGTGTTTCTCCTAATTTAGTTTTGGGAAGGAAGGTGAGGGAGCTGTCAGCCACGTTGCGAAACGTTGAGAAGTATTCCCCTTGGGACGTCGAAAATTGGTTTATAAATACAAAATTCTGAAGGAATGAATTCCTCATCCATCTCTTTAGGGAGGTGGGTGAAAATATTAGGTAGCAAAGGCCCGAATTCAATTTACCGCTGCCTTCTTGCCTATATATTTTAAACTGGGTTACGTATTTTGAGCCTATCGATCCAAAATGTGAATAGGGAAATAGGAAGCCTCTCAAAGTTCCAAACACCTTCAACGAAAGAAAACTCTGAGGCTTTTTTCTTTTCCCAATTCAAAGGTTTTCTTTTTAAAAAAAATTATTACAAATTATACATATTATAGGAACAAACGTTGTCTGAGTTTTTTCTTTTACCTCTTCTCATTTACATAGTCCATTTTACATCATAGTCTTGTTTTCACTGTCCGCCAAATTATTCTCTTCCATTATTTTCCATCTTTATAATTATTTTTTCTTAATACATAAACAGTTTCACCAAATTTTTATTTCTTATTTTCTCCATTGATATACTTTGCTACAAACACCGTATATCCTTTCAGGGTTTTTTTTTCTACATTTAACCACATACTATCATTTCTTTATTTCTTAATTAGCAATATAACCATAACAATCTTACTACTATTCACTTTAGTCTACTAATGAGACTCTTTTTCCCTTTCTTCCTCTTTTAGCTATTTTCCCTTTGGCTCTCAAAAATTCCACTTTCAATTCTTTTTCTACTTCTCCCCCTTTCTCCTAAATTCTTTTTCTTTCCCGCCGAGGCTTAAGTTTCCACAAAGTTCCATTTATTAGAGACGTTATATTGGCCCATCTGGGAAATCCCGAATCTGAAAGCTTCCAGGTTTTCTCCACCCAAGTGAAAGTCGAAGTCCCTGCCCAGCACCCACATGTCCGTCACATGGTCCAGTCAAGCTGTCAGCCCTGCAATTATATCCCTTTTAGAATTTTTGGCCTGCCACACTTTCTCTTATTTCATTATGCTGTTTCATTAGTATAGTCGATGGGAGGGGGGAATAGAAAGAAGTAGGATTGTGGAATGTGTTGTTGTCATTCTTTACTAGAAGCCAAGGTCATGTTTTGTCTCTGCACTTTTACACCTGACCGGAAGCAGCTGGGTGGAGATTCCAGCATGGAAGAAGACGATTGGACCATGTGATGGATTTGTGGNAAGCTTTTTAAAATAAATGCTTGATCTGAAGAGGCAAAGTGCTATTGTATCTTCTTTTAAATAGCAGAGAATAACGTATACTTCCAGAAAGCCACATCAATTTTAACAGCTTCCGTACAAGTATAGTCTGGAATGTAACAGTGTCCTGTTGTCTGACCCTGACTTAATCATGTTTGGAGTAGATCTATTTAAATAATTGGGAGAAGTTAGTGTGACTTCATTTAAGAAAACTTTCTGGCATCAATATACTGCCATAATGTATATTTCTCCAATTCTTTGCTATTTCTATGGGTCAGGCACACATGCACAGAAATACACCACAAACATTGTATATTGTCTGTACTGTTTGTTGCAAGGAGGCAAATTACTGGGAGGCAGAGCCAGATTTTTTCCCCTCTTGTTTTCCTCCCCAAAAGCTATGTGAGTCGGAGCGTCTTATACTCCGAAAAAATACGGTAGTCTAAGCTCTCGAAACTATACATTTAAAACAGTTTTCAAAGATTCTCATGAACTAGTCATTAGTAAATCCATCTTTATTTAATTACAGTTATGCACTCTTAATCATCATTAGCTCCTCGTGCATACAAGTCAGGACACACATAATTTGCTGGGAATGAGGATAGGAGGCAAAATTTGGAAGGAGCGTTTTGAAAGAAGGTTGGTCATGAATGCGGCCGCAAGAATCTGAGGATTGAAGCTAGCTATGGAGCGAGGGGAAAGCGAAGAATGTCAGCTGGACCACAAAGCTCAGCTGAAAGAACTGAACATTTTAAATAATTCATAGAGTAGGACTTACTTACTGCAATGGGAAATTCAGGCTGTTTTCCTTTTCTATGGAGAGGAATGTACGGGTGACTTTGATGAAGGTAGACAGGAGTTGTTAAGGAAAGAGAAATGACAACTTTGGCCTATGAAGACTAAAAATCTCCTAACCCTATACATCTTCCTATGGAAAAGGAAGCATTGGTTCAGTTGTTTCATGCCAAAATAAGCAACTATCCGTACTACAACACTTTTTCAAGGTATCTAAAAAGATCAGCTTAGCCACAAGAACATTTAGAAAGCCTAATTCATTATAATAAGGTGAGAAAAGATTATGATAAGTGAAGAGGACTCTGGGAAGAAAAGAAGGAATTCCCCAGAAGGAAATTATGTTAATGGACACTGCACCTTTGGTTATTTCAAAACCGTATTGTCTTTGTAGTCCTGCCTCATTGTCATAGATATCCTAATAGCCTTACTGAACTCACTAGGCACATAATGTGCTATAGTCAATAACATTTCTGGCTGCTACATCCAATCAATTCATATTTTAATTTGCTTAAACTGTAACCCCACCTCTCTTTAGACTTATTTTGTTGAGATACTGAGAACTGGATGGTAAATAAATTTAATACATATAATTTGTTGCTAGTACTTTCAGTGTAACATGTTTTCATCTCTTGTACCAACGAAGGAAACATTGGCATCAAATGTTGCTATAAATTGGCAAAAGAACCAAGATACTCCAGATATGCAGAAGCTAGATTTGGGCTTTCGCAGCAAAGACCTAAATACCTCACATTGAGGAACTTAACTGACAAGATTGTTACCCTTTTCTTTTGAGTCTGTGTAAATATTTTGGATGCTACTCCAGAAGACCCTAGTAGCAAGAATGATTATCCAAGGATATTCCTCCCATGTGAGTGTATGCAGGAGGTCAGAGGTGAGTTCCTACCAGTTCACACCTCATCGGTAGAACCGGCTCATCAAATCTACCGAACCGGTTAGAAGAGGTTCCACCAGTGGACCCGGAAAGCAGGCCACACCTACAGAAGAGGTTCCAAAAAATTTTGAAACCCACCACTGGTCCTTGGATATGATTATTCTACACTATCATGCTCATATTTATAAAACCCATAAGTGCCTCTGTGGAAGGTAAGGATGACTGCTGCGTTTGTGGTGCAATCAGAACATTGCGTGTGTTGAAGTTGTTTTAACACAAACCAAAGATTCCTTCTAAAAAACAAGTTTACATCCTATTCTTATGCATGCCAGTGCTGTGTGTGAGGTAATTTAAGGTGGTTCTGACAAGTGTCGTCGGCATCTTCATATCCGGTCACATGGACGGCAAGCCACTCCCATCCAGTCACATGGGCAGCAAGCCACTCCCACAAAGGAGGCCACACCCACAAAGTAGGTTCGAACAATTTTTGAAACCCACCACTGCAGGAGGTGCACAGAATACCCTGCAGCTTGACTGTGAACCTGGGCGGCTGAGAGATACCTCTGGAGGAGATTACCACCTCACAGTCCTTGAGAAGATGAGCGATCTCTGCAGGAGATAGCTGCCTTTCATATTTGAGTGTATCAGTGGTGGATATGCCACTCTTGAGTCCCACAAATGCAAGATGAGCCTCTGAGGGAATCCACCACCCTTGACCATCAGGGTAAAACTTGTATACTTTCCATAGCTTAGTATATTAATTTTGAAAAAGGAAGGTTGTGTGATAGAAAATGAGTAAGGAGAGCCTGTGAAGAATTATGGTGTCAGGCTTGCAATTATATCTCTTTTAGGATCTTTGGCCTGCCACACTTTCTCTTGTTTCATTATGCTGTTTCATTAGTGTAGTTGTTGGGAGGGGGGAATAGAAAGGAGTAGGATTGTGGAATGTGTTGCTGTCATTCTTTTCTAGAAGACCAAGGTCATCTTTTGTCTCCGCACCTTTACACCTGACCGGAAGCAGCTGGGTGGAGATGCCAGCGTGGAAGAAGACGATTGGACCATGTGATGGATTTGTGGGTGTGGGGACAAGATCATGAACTTTTAACTGGGTGGAATCCCAGGACGTTCTTTAGAATTGGGATTCCATAGCACGATGCCAACATGTCTGTCTTATTAAATCGGAACTTTAAGGATAGCTCTGCCTTGGACTCTGATTTAATTCTGCATAGAACGCTGACATATGGGACTTTAAATTCAAAAATGATGTACATGGGACTCTATCATGAACCCTCCAAATTTTCCATCAGCTGGGAAAGAGAAACACGTGAGAAGGAAACTCAAAATAATCCTGTTTCACTTCTGCGTGGGGTAAGGGGAAGCTCAGCAAGCTTTCAAGTTTCAGTCGTTACACCCTGGAACAATAATGTAACATTCATGTACTCCTTGCACTGTTGGTTTCCTGCTCAAAGGCAGACAGTCTTTCATCTAGCACAATATACGATTGAGATGTGTAGCCCAAATACAGAGCAAAACAGAAGACAAAAACACAATGGTACTCTTGTCCAAGTAAAGAAACAAAAATATATATATTTCTAGTGATTTTTAGAAGTCAGAAACTGAAGACAGTGAAATAAAAAACACCTCTTACCAAATCCCAAGAGTGGTCGGAGAACTTGAGATTTTATAGAGCTCAGCTTGGAGTAGAACTGTCTCTCTGTCGAAGCCAACTCATGAAGACTCGCGATGTATCCCATAATGTTCTTGTCCACTAAAGCCAAACACTTATTTCCACCTGTTGTCACATGGCTAATATACCCTAGCTGGAAGGAAATACATTATTTTGAGAAATCTCTCAAGACAAGGCTCAAAGTTAGCCCTCCTTGATGTTCTGGTAGACATTTGCCTCTTCTGTTTTGCCACTTGACTTAGTGCAGTGTTTCTCAACCTTGGCAACTTGAAGATGTCCGGACTTCAACTCCCAGAATTCCCCAGCCAGCATCTGGCTGGGGAATTCTGGGAGTTGAAGTCCGGACATCTTCAAGTTGCCAAGGTTGAGAAACACTGACTTAGTGAAACAAACTCTTTGAAGTACACACAGAAACATTAACATGACTTACAGCCTTTAAAAAAAATCCTGGTATGTGTACCATATGTAATATTAATTCTTGATGAATTTACTTGACCAGATTCAACAATAATAGTCTTAGGTCTGGTAAACTGTAACTATATTCTTTTTCTTTGACTATATTATATTAAGACTGGATTATTATAATGCACTCTACATGGGGCTGGCCTTGAAGAGTGTTCGAAGATTCCAATTAGTCCAGAATGCAGCCGCNCCCTGAGTCCCTCCCGGAGAAGGGCGGCATACAAATAAAATAAATTTAAATCTAAATCTAAATCTGAAAGTAGCCAATTGAGGACAGTTTCATAAATTCTGTTTCTTGCCTGCCAATCTAAAGGCGTGGCTGGTGATTTTTCCAATCATTCTCCAACTTAATCTTACGGTGCAAGTCAGCAGTTCAGAAAACAGTAAGCATAACGTTTGCAATCTCTTTCTGCATGTCACTTTTTCTATTGAATTCATTGTTTTCAGATGCAGTGCAATAAAAACCCACAAATTAAAACTAAAAGAAAAAAGAAAAAATCCTCACTCAGTATAACTTTCCAAAAACAGATTTGAATGCTTCAGAATCACCAGATTCTTTGCCTCTTTTAATCCTTGAAGAAAGCTGGTCAAAGAGGCTCCATGCTGACCAATCAGGTAACACAGTTTGCTGAATGTGCTTGCCGTTTCCTGCAGCAATTGGATGGTAGATGCCGTGCCTAAATTATCTGTAACCCAACAAGTGCACATAGAGTTGAAATGCATGGTGGAAACATTGCCAATTCAATATATCAGAAAGAAGAATTACTGTGTTTTTTGGATTATAAGACGCACCTTCCCCCCCCTCGAAACAGGGTGAAAATTTGGGTGCGTCTTATACACTGAATGTAGCCCCACCCACCCACCGGCCCCCACCCTTTGGCCTCTGCCTCCCAGCAATTTACCTCCTTGCAGCAAACGGGGAAAATGGGGATTGCGGAGGCTTCAATAGGCTATGGAAATCCCTGCAGCCTGAAACAGCTGATGATCGGGAGGCCCCTGCTGAAATTGAAAGTGAAACTTGCTGTTTGCTGCACTGAGGCAAATTGCTGGGAGGGAGAGGCAGATTTTTTTTTCTTGTGCTAATCAGGCTGTTTGCTGCAATGAGGCAAGTCAATAACTATAAATGCTTATAGAACGTCCAAATTATTAGCCTTATTTTTTAAAGGCTGCTTTATTATTGTTCTAGTCAACTTAAGAAAATGAAGAAGCTTTTTAAAATAAATGCTTGATCTGAAGAGGCAAAGTGCTATTGTATCTTCTTTTAAATAGCAGAGAATAACTATACTTCCAGAAAGCATATCAATTTTAACAGCATCTG